GGATAAACAATAAAACCCATTGTCTATGAAAACATTCAGATATCTTTTTGTTTAGGAAGGTTAAATGTGACGTTGTAATATTGCAACAGTGGGCCTTACAGGGTTTTAATTGTGGACCTACTTTTATGTTAATAGTAACATCATTGAAGGAACATTAACTTTACACAACAGAAACCCAACCTCTGTTGTTGAGGAAAAAGAAACTTTATTTGTACTATTAAAGAGTCAGCAAAATGTTCTAGGCTGTAGCTGGAATCTGGTAAAAATTACAGGAGGAAGAAGGACTTTTTTTTTAGATGTCAAAATGTGTCTTTCTGACCACTTTAGTGTGGCTCTGGATTTTAATCTTCGAACCACAGTGTCCTCATTAATCAGCTGTGGTTTAGTTATTCTCATCACTACGTATGATTTCACATATTGATGTATATAATATCTAATAACGTATAAAAATATCTATAAACCATGTAATACTCTTGTACATGTGTAGAAATATGTGGTCCTTTTGTGCTCACAGAATAAGACAAGTCATTAATTTATTTTTTTTTAAAAAGAAAAAAGTGTAATTTATTAATTGTATTAATTGTCCATTTTCCCTCTGTAGCTTAGCATGGTCCCTTCAGCATGGGAAAATTATGTTTTATGAAAGTTAATGTTTTCTCTAATCCCTTTTTCACTTCTTGGTCTATTTTATGTACTAATAGTTCCTTAAATTAGTAAATAATTCAGTGGTTTTGTTTCATAGTGTCACTGTGGCAGGTATGAACTTCTCTGTAAATTGTAAAGACTGCGAACAATGACAACAATACAAGCGCCCCACAAAAAAAGGACTGGTTCTTCTAAAGCACACAATGATGTACACTTCTTCCATGGTGGGAAGTGCATTGTTTTAATTCTGTGAGGTTAGGGTCTTAATGAGTTCCGCCTGGTTACAAAATAAAACAGACTGTATGTTTATTTTTACTCATAAGTTCCCAAATTGGTGTGTGTGTGCAGTCGTATGAGGTTTCCGAGCAATATCATCAAATATCAAACAAACCAAAATAACTGAGATCAATGTGAGGAGTTGTTTTTGTGTCATAACTGCACAAACTTCAAAAGGAAGGGGTGGAAAATAATATGTCAAGAGGAAAACCTCCATAATTAGCTATTATCATGGAGCAATGTCATCAGATCTCTGGATTTTTATGAAGTGGTGGATAGTTTTGCATAGAAACAGTTGATGGACAAATGCCTGTTTTAAGGTAAGACAGCAATTACAGATACAGTTATTGCTGTTTATTTCAAGCTTGGTGATGAATAAATAGCTTTGAATAGCAGAAGTATTCAAAAATGTTCAACATGTGGTATTAAAAAGTAATGACAGCCCCTAAAACAAGCCAAAAACAAAAAAAGTCCAAAACGACTCCAGTGAACTATACTGGCTGTACAGCTGTAAACATCTGTACTTCCTTATTGCCACTGTGCGTCCACCACAGTGAGCTGGAAGACGTCCTCACCCGGATCGTCTCTGGTCTTCAGAGCCTGGCGGAGTTTCTCCCAGAACAGCTCCGTGTGCTCTCCGGCTCGAGGCCAGCTCAGGTAGGTCCACTTCTTCAGCAGTTTCCTCATGCGGTAGTAAGGAGACAGCTCATGGGTGGGAATGTCCTCCAGAAAGACCATGATCAGCACGTCCTTCTGCTCGTCGAACAGACGGAAGCTAGACGGGAGAAACAAAAGATGGATGAGAACGTACAAAAGCGAAACACAGTCACCACATAACCTACATCTGACTTTCTGACATCTGTTTTACTATAAACTAATATTATTCCTTAAAAATGTGTAATTTCCATGAAAACAGCTTCTAAAATCCCAATAATTACGAAATGTTACCATTGGGGGGCTCCTTAACTTTAGCTTTGTAATCTGATGTAGGACTCTTAACCAGACTAAGAGGCTATATCACGTGAAAGCTAGCTTGCGTGATAGGCCTAGCTGTGGCTAGCGTTAGCTTAAACTAAACCAAAGTTTAGTCAATGATTAGTTGATGTGATGTGACATGATGTGTTTAGAAAGAAAGCAAGAGTTTTTTGTTATTATCATTTTCTACACAGACAGCGTAGCGTGAGCAACACTTTTAGCAGAGCAGAAGCAGAAGAAGGTCCCACTGCAGACCGCATGTTTAGAGACAGCAGGTCTACAAGCAAAATAGAGAAGAGTAAGGACCCAAGATGTGAGGTGCATCACTTCTGTTACTGGCCTTCAGATCATCAGATTTGAAAAGACTTTAATTTCTCTGCTAAAGACTTGAAGTTGTTTTAATGTAGTAATGTTTTTGTCAGTTAAAAAAACAACAACCCTAGATTCTCACTCTTATTACATGTCAGTCTTACTTAACCTTACATTTCTGCGAAGCCTATAAAATCACGTGAACCAGACTTTTCAGTTTGATTGCTGTCTTGGGTGGTTTCTGAGAAGGTTTCGTTTCCATTTTGAATTAGTCACAAATCCTGCTCCATTCTTTTGCTTATTTGGCTTTGCCTTCAACCACATCCTCACTTCCTCAGGCCCCTGGTGTTTCCTGTTAATTTCCATCAACTGCAATTCCCTCATCCAGCCACCAATTTCCCCTGACTTTCCCTTCATTCCTGATCATCTGACCTTTCCCACCCACTCACACACCTGATCCCAGTTTCCTCATCAGATCTCTCATGATTTAAGACAGCCCCAATCAGCTGCTCCTATCCAGACTGTTAGGTCATGCACAGTCTCTGCTGTGTTCATCTTCCTGTGTCACTTCCTGCTTTTGGTTTATTTTTCCCTCCTTGCCAAATCATGTGTAAGTTTTCATTAATTTGCGTTATTAAAGCCACGTCACTGCACCAGCAATGTTTGAGTTTGCATTAACAGGAAATCAACTTTCGAAATTGAACATCTCTTGGGTTTAAGATGTGTATTACTTCAGTGTTCAAGGTGACAGTTATTACAAGGTGTTGGAGATATTTTTAAGATCTGATAACCATAAATGTGTAGATATTAATTCAATATCAGCATAGATGATTAACATCAGCTTAATGTATCACACAGCTGAGACATTACCTGGCCACCTGGATCTCTCTGGAGCACCACTCACTCTCAAGGTATCTGCGACTGATCACACAGATGGTCTTCCTGCTTCCATAAATGGCATCTGTGATGTTGTCTATGATGGGTTTACCTGAGGTAAAGGTAAAACAGTCAGCCACAAAAACCATAATCACTTTTCTCTTCATGAGTTCCTCTGAGAGTGCAGTACAAAAAGTAATATGGTGACACCTGCTGGTGTATAAATGAAAGTACACAATGTAATAGCTTATACTCTTGTGTATACTGATTTCCAGATTACAGCTTCTTACAGATAGGAAATTAATGGCTTTCTGTGTCTTGAACAACACAATTGTTTTAAATGTAATCAAGAAACCTCTACTCTACCATACACTCTGTCTCTTTTGATAGTATCATTATTTTAGCTGCATTGTTGGCCTCCCATTGCTCATTTAAGCTCAGCTGGAGCAAAGAAAGGCATTAATTTAACAGCTGGTGTAAACAGCAGTCTTACCTGGCTCAAAGTCTCGATGGTGCAGACACAATCTCCAGCCCTGGTCTCCCTCCAGTTTGGGCAGCAGCTCTTGGACGACCCAGGGCTCATCATGAGTGTTGTAGGAGATGAAGGCGTCATACTGATTAGGAGCTTGCTTGTTTTTATACTTTGTGTCAAAGAGCAAAGCCAAGAAGAGGTAGTAGGCATAGGCCAGGTGCCACCTCAGGAAATGGTAGGTGAAGGACACCACCATAAACAGTAGGACTGTACATGTGGTGGAGATAAAGTAGATGAATTCAATGTCTACTGAGCAGGAGCTGATGTCGAGTTCCAACAGTTCCTTGCCTTTAAGGTGCACAGGGTAGTTGCAGGTAAAGTTATAGGCATCAAAAACTTGTGTTTGGTTGTTGTTTTCTATCCACTGGAGGAACCAGGCGTTATCGCAGTCACACCTGAAACTGTTCCCCTGAAGATCCACATAAACAAGAGCTGGTACAGACCTTATTATTTCCTCACTGATAACTGAATATTGATTCTTTCTCGCCTGCAAGAACTCCAGTTTGGAAAGGCTGGCATTTACAAGAAACTCCAGAGACCCAAGAATTGTTCTAGATATGTAAAGACTTTTAAGGTTTGGAATTGGGGAAAACAACTCTGGAGAGAGATCCCTAAATTCATTTGTGCTAATGTCAAGTTCTTGCAGCTGAGGTGTGTAAATAAACGTGTCTTTGTGCAAGGTTAAAAGTTGAATGTTCCTCGTATTGAAAACCCGCAGATTTGTGAGACCTTGCAGGAGGTTGTGAGGCAAGTAAGACTTCCCCTTGCCATGCTGTAAAGCAATACCTAATGTCTCCAGATGGGACAGCTGAGAAAATGGTGCATGAGGCAAAGTTGAATCGTTTCCATATCTAATGTAATTGTCCCTCAACTCCAGTCTTCTTAAATTTATCAGATCATTGAAACTACCTTTGTTTATTTCATCCATTTTAATAAGATTCTCCTGTAGCTGAATATCGGTAACATTCATCAATCCAATGAAACACCTTTTATCAAGTTGCTGTATTTGATTGTGATGTAATGACAAGTTCTGGAGGGACTGTAAGCCCCTGAATTCTCCATGTTTAAGGGCAGTGAGTTTATTCTGATTCAACAGCAGTTGGCGTAGATTTGGCAGGTATTTGTTGAAGGCACCATGTAACTCGGACATTTGGTTGCTCTGCAACTTTAAAACTTGCAGTCGTATTAAATCCTTGAAAACACAGTCTTTTAGAGCTGAGATTGAATTCTGATAAAGGTTGAGCTGTCTAAGCATTGTCTGATTGGCAAAATCGTCACATTCAAGTTTGCTGATGAAATTAGAGCTCAGATCCAATTCTTGAAGAATCGGTAGATTCCTCGTGGCAGCTGGAACAGATGAAAGGTTGTTGCGACTCAGATTCAAGATCCTTAATCTCTGAATAGATCTGAAGGTGTTGTCACTGATGTTTTGTATTTGATTAACTGCTAAATCTAACTCAGTTACATTGATGCACAACTTAATCAAATGGGAACTGACAGAGCTGAGTTTGTAATTGCGGAGTTGCAGTTTGGACAATGTTGGGATGGAACAGGAAATGTTGATCAGCGCTGCAAGGTTTTGTTTCATTGCATTCATCCTCAGAGACGTTAGTGAGGAGTTTACGCTCTCTAGTAATGTTTTCATGTCATTTAAAGACATTTGAAGCCCGCTCATATCAAGAGTAGACAATCGACTAAAGAAAGTCTTGTTATGCACATCCCATCTCATCTTCTGGGAAGAGCCACCGACATTAAACCAGGTCAGATTTGGTAAAACATCTGCAGTGATCTGAAAAACTGTCATAGGATTCTGAGACAAATCGAGGTATTTAAGTTGTAGTGAGCTGTTTGTCAGTTCCCACGAGTGAAAAGTGTTAAAATCGTTTCTTTTAATAAACAGCTCTCGTAGCTGCGGCAGATGCTGTATTATTGAATGAACTTTTCTTATGTCGTGCAGTTTGTTGTGAGAAATGTCCAGAAACTTTAAGCTTATCATGGACTTGAAAGACGTGGACGCCACAGCTCTGATGCGATTACTAGTAATCCTGAGCTCGGTGAGGTTGCTCAAACCATTAAAAAGATCCTCTCTGAGTTCAACAAGTTTATTATTATTTAGATTTAACTTCTTGAGGGAAATCAGATTGGCAAAGGCGCCGCCATCTATCTGCGAAATGAAGTTGCGATTTAGTTCTAATTTTGTCAAAACTGGTAGATTTTTGAAATCTGATATTTGTACTCTTGAAATTTTGTTTGCAGACAAGTCAAAACCCTCTACTGTCGAGGGAATATCTCGAGGAACAGCTCTGAGTTTATTCTGGGCGCATATGGCAATATTGTAACTGATTTTGCAATTCTTCATTGCAAATCCTCTGACTGGAACAACAAAACTGCTGATATTCAACAAGCAGAGAAAAATTATGAGTTGAAATTGTTTTCTTCCTCCTGTTGCCGTTGTTTCATTCTCTTTCACTCCACGACCCATTTTTAAAGTCTCTGTTAAAAAGAACAAGTGAAGTACAACCAATAAGGCATTGCAATTTCTCAGTGATTACTCCCATCAGTGAATAAAAACTGCAAAAAGCAATGCTGAAATTCAATAAAAACAGACAAATAAAGGCCAACAGAGGCAGTAATACACAATAAATACAGAAAATTTACAACACTACAATAAATGATCACCATATAAGATGTGAGCTCAGTCAGCCTCCTTAATATTATTAGAAATGCAATTTAAAAATGTCATTGTTGTCTTACTTTCTTCTACCTTTCCTCTAAAATCCCTTTTTATTTTATTTGTGACAAAATGAAAACAACATTGCAATTACCCGGTAAATCACAGGCTGCATTTTAAAGCATTACCAAATAAACCAAAGAGTTAGAATCATCCTCGTGAGCATATGGCAAATAATATTTTCTGATACTTACCGCGTCGCACAAAGAAAAGCTGCTTAATCACTGATCTGATATCAACAGAATCTTGTAGTTTAACTTTATATAGTTTAACTTTTTTATCTTCCTTTGTTCGAATAAAATGTCAGTCTACATACCACCCAGTGTGTTCGTCTTGCTGTGTGGCTTAAACATCTTTCATCTGCAAGTCATCACTTTACTCATTTTCATACATCAACTGAAGGAAGTGAGAGTTGCTCGCTGTTTGAGATGTTTTTTTTTTCCGATTCCTGAGTTCGTTTTTGTTTGGGATTCATCTTGTTTAGTTTTGTCATGATGCTCAATTCACAGTCATTATCATTTTTTACATACATTAATGCATTTCTGTAAATACTTATGGTCAATTATACTACATGGTTATGTAGATTTTTGGTCTGGCCTTTATTCTCTTCTTTTATTTTCTCTTTATGTGTCATACCACGAAGCTGTGGTTATTTTCATTTCCTCTGAAAAGTCCAGTGATGACTTCTGCAATCTAGCAAAGAGACAGTCCTCTAATAGCCATACACGTCCTCTTCTTCGCGGACTTCTAGATACTGGACCTGCACACCAAGATAAAATATAGACACAAAAAGTATACTTCATTAACTCTCTACAGTTTGTATGCATCAGTGAATATACTGAGCATGCTTTACTTATAATAAGTAACTTTATTTAAATATCATTTATAGAAACCCGATTGACAATAATGATGTCGTGCTTTCACAGAGTATTTAATTTATTTATTTAGAGCAGCGGTTCTTCATCTTTTTAGGAGTGCAGAAATGATCTCTGTCTATACAACACAATTGAAAACCCAAACATAGGCTACATGACCATTCATGTACACTGGGCAAGCATGAGCCAGTGTAAACAGCGTAAATCAGCAGTTTGTTAGTTGCACAAATTGATTAGATAGATAGATAGATAGATTCTTTATTTTCACGACCAAATTAAGTTTGGCAGAGATCCTCTTCGCAGCATAAGTTAAAGATAATTACAGACTAAAATTGCCAGAAAAGAGGAACAACAAACTGTGCAACAGCTGCTGACAAAGATATCAAGGTTAGTTACACTTGTCATTCATCATTCTTGTTGCTTTCACCACTGTTGAGGCTGATAAGACCGTATCAGGGAGCGACCATGGGTGTCTACGACATTCTCACGAAAGGTCCTTCGTTTTTGCCTGCCCAAACTACAATGCAACCCCGGAGTTTTCAGACTAAAACGGGGTCAGCAACTATTCCAAAAGTTTCCGTTTTAGGCACTTGAAATCCAGAGTAGTGTGGACAACAGATGTAAGCGTGGCAAAAGAGATGCGTTATAAAACATAAACGTAGCGTGAACCAGAATAGTAACATTTTAGACCAGAGGACCAAAACAATATCTGAAAGATGCTAAAATGCTTTGTAGAGTTGAGTTATAGAATGATAATTCTCTGTGGTTTGATCACTACAAGCATCACCTTTCACTTATCATTCTAAAATGATCCATTTTAAATATCAAATATCGATTATAGGAACTTTAAGTATTGGATTTGAATTTCATGCTTTCTTGTCTCTTTTTTCTGCTTGACAAGGAAGCTTTTTGTCTTTGGTCCTTCTGAAATCCCAAGAACGTTCTTTTAGTTTTTCAGAACAGTAGCCTATGAGCTCCAGCAACTTTTAAAAATCCAGAAATCTCTGCATGTCAAGTCTTTACTGAGTATATAGTATTATTACCACTTACTGTATGTCTTTAACCCTGTAAAACCCAGACATAGAAAAAAATGAGCAAAAACTTTTTTCACCTTCCAGATGTTGTTGTAGGAGGCATCTGATGCACAAATAAAAGTGTTTTAGAATTTTTTACATTTTGGTAAGTTTTTAGGAAAACGTAATATTGCAACGTTGGGCCTCGGTGGGAGCAGAATTTCTGTATTTGTACTCACATTGTCTGAACATATATACAGAACAACTCAGGCTTCATTTGCAGGATTGACTGCCTGTTTAGCCCCATAATAGTATACATTAGATGCAGACGGAGTTTTAAATGCTGCTGTGTCAGGTGCACAAGCCATTGTAGCCAGCACAAAGACCCAGTGTTGTAAAATTGCAACACAGACACAACAAGCTCAAAATCAAATTTGATGAATGATTTCCACAATAACTTAACATCTACATGTTTGAGACATTGTAATGAACACACACAAAAAAAAAATATTTCAGGTAATTTACTTACTTGAATCTTGCCAAATCCAGTCCAGTGAAAACAAGGAGATGAGCTCAGAGAAAAGTTTGCAGGTAGTGTGAGTTCATGGTCAGATGGCCAGACCTATAAACATGTATTCTATCCAATAGCATTGTGAGGATAAACAATAAAACCCATTGTCTATGAAAACATTCAGATATCTTTTTGTTTAGGAAGGTTAAATGTGACGTTGTAATATTGCAACAGTGGGCCTTACAGGGTTTTAATTGTGGACCTACTTTTATGTTAATAGTAACATCATTGAAGGAACATTAACTTTACACAACAGAAACCCAACCTCTGTTGTTGAGGAAAAAGAAACTTTATTTGTACTATTAAAGAGTCAGCAAAATGTTCTAGGCTGTAGCTGGAATCTGGTAAAAATTACAGGAGGAAGAAGGACTTTTTTTTTAGATGTCAAAATGTGTCTTTCTGACCACTTTAGTGTGGCTCTGGATTTTAATCTTCGAACCACAGTGTCCTCATTAATCAGCTGTGGTTTAGTTATTCTCATCACTACGTATGATTTCACATATTGATGTATATAATATCTAATAACGTATAAAAATATCTATAAACCATGTAATACTCTTGTACATGTGTAGAAATATGTGGTCCTTTTGTGCTCACAGAATAAGACAAGTCATTAATTTATTTTTTTTTAAAAAGAAAAAAGTGTAATTTATTAATTGTATTAATTGTCCATTTTCCCTCTGTAGCTTAGCATGGTCCCTTCAGCATGGGAAAATTATGTTTTATGAAAGTTAATGTTTTCTCTAATCCCTTTTTCACTTCTTGGTCTATTTTATGTACTAATAGTTCCTTAAATTAGTAAATAATTCAGTGGTTTTGTTTCATAGTGTCACTGTGGCAGGTATGAACTTCTCTGTAAATTGTAAAGACTGCGAACAATGACAACAATACAAGCGCCCCACAAAAAAAGGACTGGTTCTTCTAAAGCACACAATGATGTACACTTCTTCCATGGTGGGAAGTGCATTGTTTTAATTCTGTGAGGTTAGGGTCTTAATGAGTTCCGCCTGGTTACAAAATAAAACAGACTGTATGTTTATTTTTACTCATAAGTTCCCAAATTGGTGTGTGTGTGCAGTCGTATGAGGTTTCCGAGCAATATCATCAAATATCAAACAAACCAAAATAACTGAGATCAATGTGAGGAGTTGTTTTTGTGTCATAACTGCACAAACTTCAAAAGGAAGGGGTGGAAAATAATATGTCAAGAGGAAAACCTCCATAATTAGCTATTATCATGGAGCAATGTCATCAGATCTCTGGATTTTTATGAAGTGGTGGATAGTTTTGCATAGAAACAGTTGATGGACAAATGCCTGTTTTAAGGTAAGACAGCAATTACAGATACAGTTATTGCTGTTTATTTCAAGCTTGGTGATGAATAAATAGCTTTGAATAGCAGAAGTATTCAAAAATGTTCAACATGTGGTATTAAAAAGTAATGACAGCCCCTAAAACAAGCCAAAAACAAAAAAAGTCCAAAACGACTCCAGTGAACTATACTGGCTGTACAGCTGTAAACATCTGTACTTCCTTATTGCCACTGTGCGTCCACCACAGTGAGCTGGAAGACGTCCTCACCCGGATCGTCTCTGGTCTTCAGAGCCTGGCGGAGTTTCTCCCAGAACAGCTCCGTGTGCTCTCCGGCTCGAGGCCAGCTCAGGTAGGTCCACTTCTTCAGCAGTTTCCTCATGCGGTAGTAAGGAGACAGCTCATGGGTGGGAATGTCCTCCAGAAAGACCATGATCAGCACGTCCTTCTGCTCGTCGAACAGACGGAAGCTAGACGGGAGAAACAAAAGATGGATGAGAACGTACAAAAGCGAAACACAGTCACCACATAACCTACATCTGACTTTCTGACATCTGTTTTACTATAAACTAATATTATTCCTTAAAAATGTGTAATTTCCATGAAAGCAGCTTCTAAAATCCCAATAATTACGAAATGTTACCATTGGGGGGCTCCTTAACTTTAGCTTTGTAATCTGATGTAGGACTCTTAACCAGACTAAGAGGCTATATCACGTGAAAGCTAGCTTGCGTGATAGGCCTAGCTGTGGCTAGCGTTAGCTTAAACTAAACCAAAGTTTAGTCAATGATTAGTTGATGTGATGTGACATGATGTGTTTAGAAAGAAAGCAAGAGTTTTTTGTTATTATCATTTTCTACACAGACAGCGTAGCGTGAGCAACACTTTTAGCAGAGCAGAAGCAGAAGAAGGTCCCACTGCAGACCGCATGTTTAGAGACAGCAGGTCTACAAGCAAAATAGAGAAGAGTAAGGACCCAAGATGTGAGGTGCATCACTTCTGTTACTGGCCTTCAGATCATCAGATTTGAAAAGACTTTAATTTCTCTGCTAAAGACTTGAAGTTGTTTTAATGTAGTAATGTTTTTGTCAGTTAAAAAAACAACAACCCTAGATTCTCACTCTTATTACATGTCAGTCTTACTTAACCTTACATTTCTGCGAAGCCTATAAAATCACGTGAACCAGACTTTTCAGTTTGATTGCTGTCTTGGGTGGTTTCTGAGAAGGTTTCGTTTCCATTTTGAATTAGTCACAAATCCTGCTCCATTCTTTTGCTTATTTGGCTTTGCCTTCAACCACATCCTCACTTCCTCAGGCCCCTGGTGTTTCCTGTTAATTTCCATCAACTGCAATTCCCTCATCCAGCCACCAATTTCCCCTGACTTTCCCTTCATTCCTGATCATCTGACCTTTCCCACCCACTCACACACCTGATCCCAGTTTCCTCATCAGATCTCTCATGATTTAAGACAGCCCCAATCAGCTGCTCCTATCCAGACTGTTAGGTCATGCACAGTCTCTGCTGTGTTCATCTTCCTGTGTCACTTCCTGCTTTTGGTTTATTTTTCCCTCCTTGCCAAATCATGTGTAAGTTTTCATTAATTTGCGTTATTAAAGCCACGTCACTGCACCAGCAATGTTTGAGTTTGCATTAACAGGAAATCAACTTTCGAAATTGAACATCTCTTGGGTTTAAGATGTGTATTACTTCAGTGTTCAAGGTGACAGTTATTACAAGGTGTTGGAGATATTTTTAAGATCTGATAACCATAAATGTGTAGATATTAATTCAATATCAGCATAGATGATTAACATCAGCTTAATGTATCACACAGCTGAGACATTACCTGGCCACCTGGATCTCTCTGGAGCACCACTCACTCTCAAGGTATCTGCGACTGATCACACAGATGGTCTTCCTGCTTCCATAAATGGCATCTGTGATGTTGTCTATGATGGGTTTACCTGAGGTAAAGGTAAAACAGTCAGCCACAAAAACCATAATCACTTTTCTCTTCATGAGTTCCTCTGAGAGTGCAGTACAAAAAGTAATATGGTGACACCTGCTGGTGTATAAATGAAAGTACACAATGTAATAGCTTATACTCTTGTGTATACTGATTTCCAGATTACAGCTTCTTACAGATAGGAAATTAATGGCTTTCTGTGTCTTGAACAACACAATTGTTTTAAATGTAATCAAGAAACCTCTACTCTACCATACACTCTGTCTCTTTTGATAGTATCATTATTTTAGCTGCATTGTTGGCCTCCCATTGCTCATTTAAGCTCAGCTGGAGCAAAGAAAGGCATTAATTTAACAGCTGGTGTAAACAGCAGTCTTACCTGGCTCAAAGTCTCGATGGTGCAGACACAATCTCCAGCCCTGGTCTCCCTCCAGTTTGGGCAGCAGCTCTTGGACGACCCAGGGCTCATCATGAGTGTTGTAGGAGATGAAGGCGTCATACTGATTAGGAGCTTGCTTGTTTTTATACTTTGTGTCAAAGAGCAAAGCCAAGAAGAGGTAGTAGGCATAGGCCAGGTGCCACCTCAGGAAATGGTAGGTGAAGGACACCACCATAAACAGTAGGACTGTACATGTGGTGGAGATAAAGTAGATGAATTCAATGTCTACTGAGCAGGAGCTGATGTCGAGTTCCAACAGTTCCTTGCCTTTAAGGTGCACAGGGTAGTTGCAGGTAAAGTTATAGGCATCAAAAACTTGTGTTTGGTTGTTGTTTTCTATCCACTGGAGGAACCAGGCGTTATCGCAGTCACACCTGAAACTGTTCCCCTGAAGATCCACATAAACAAGAGCTGGTACAGACCTTATTATTTCCTCACTGATAACTGAATATTGATTCTTTCTCGCCTGCAAGAACTCCAGTTTGGAAAGGCTGGCATTTACAAGAAACTCCAGAGACCCAAGAATTGTTCTAGATATGTAAAGACTTTTAAGGTTTGGAATTGGGGAAAACAACTCTGGAGAGAGATCCCTAAATTCATTTGTGCTAATGTCAAGTTCTTGCAGCTGAGGTGTGTAAATAAACGTGTCTTTGTGCAAGGTTAAAAGTTGAATGTTCCTCGTATTGAAAACCCGCAGATTTGTGAGACCTTGCAGGAGGTTGTGAGGCAAGTAAGACTTCCCCTTGCCATGCTGTAAAGCAATACCTAATGTCTCCAGATGGGACAGCTGAGAAAATGGTGCATGAGGCAAAGTTGAATCGTTTCCATATCTAATGTAATTGTCCCTCAACTCCAGTCTTCTTAAATTTATCAGATCATTGAAACTACCTTTGTTTATTTCATCCATTTTAATAAGATTCTCCTGTAGCTGAATATCGGTAACATTCATCAATCCAATGAAACACCTTTTATCAAGTTGCTGTATTTGATTGTGATGTAATGACAAGTTCTGGAGGGACTGTAAGCCCCTGAATTCTCCATGTTTAAGGGCAGTGAGTTTATTCTGATTCAACAGCAGTTGGCGTAGATTTGGCAGGTATTTGTTGAAGGCACCATGTAACTCGGACATTTGGTTGCTCTGCAACTTTAAAACTTGCAGTCGTATTAAATCCTTGAAAACACAGTCTTTTAGAGCTGA